CGGCGAAACACCTCCCACTGCCGCTCCATGCGCCGTGGAGGGCAGCAGGCCCGTCTGCCACAAGCATGTCGCCTTGGCGCCAGCCGCTCTCCTCAAGGTCCTCGCCCTTCTCATCCTGGGCCTCAACTTCTCGAGCCTGCTCTCAGCCACTGCCCTTCTCGCCTTCGTGCAATTGAGGTCGCGACCGAGGTTCCTCATGCGCTGCTTGGGGCAGATCTTGACCCTCGAGGCGAATGGCTTCGCCGCCTTCTGGCCCCGCCTCGAAGACGCCACGCGCCCCGACTTGCCCACCTGCAGTTCCAGCCCAGCCTCTGCCACCTCGCACTTGTACCTGAGCACCGCCTCCCAGAGCGCCCGCGCGCCACGCAGGTCCTGGCCCACCCACTGGGCCGAGGTGTCGTCCGCCAACGTCCTGGGGATGACGTCAAACCTGGCGAGCCTCTTGAGCGCCCCTGCCGTGGCAACCGCCAGCACCGCCATCGAGTTGGAGCAGCCCGCCAGGATGCCCTGGTGCGCCATGTAGCCCGTCGACAGCGAACCAAACGCCTTGAGCCTCCTCGGCAAGTGGCGGTACTTCAGGATCGCCCACGTGAGGCGGAGAGGATGCCCCATACTTCTGGCTTCCCCCAGAACTCGCGTGGCGATCAAGCTGTCGAACGCCGCCCGCGCATCCAGCAGCACCGTCACGCTGTGGCCACCATTGAGGTTGGTGACCTCCGCCATCAGGTTGCGGTGAAACGCCGCCGCCGAGGAGGTCCTTCCCCCCCCCCTCCCGTGCCCCACAGGTTGGGCACGTCCGCCTGGGCCATCCAGCTCCTCGAAATCGTCGACCTCGCCTTGGCCCACAGCCGCAGCACCGAGTTCACTAGTGCGATGCGCCTGCACCCTCCACGTTCTTTGGGCAGTCGGACCAGCACCGTGAATAGCCTGCTGGTCGGCCACTCGCCCATCTTCTCACACTGGCTGAACAGCGCCGACAGCACATACAGGCCAATGTCACTGAGGTGTGATAACGCTCGCGGCGCGATGCCCGTCTGGCCGACGGTCGTCCTTTCCTTGAACTTCCCCGCTGCTTGCCGCAGATGTCGGATACTCATCCTCGGCAACTCCGCCCACTCCTCGAAGTCGGGTGGCTTCTCCAGCGCCTTGACCTCGCGGTACGTCCACACCTCCTTCCACTCGTCCAATTCCCGCTCCACCAGCTGGTGTGGGCTGCTACGCGTCGCGGCCTTCCACACTTCAGCCGCTGGGGGCAGGCGCGCGAAGGCATGCGCTGCACGTGCACCTCCTTCGAGACTCCTGGCCGCCCAGGTCCTCCACTCCTTGTCGCACCCCTTGCCGTAGTTATTCCTCAGCTTCTCCGCCTCTCTCACCACAGTCTGGACCTTGGCCGCCCACTGGACCTGGCCCATCTGCACGAGGCCGCCCTCGAACCACCGCGCCACCTCCACATCGAGCCGCTCCTGCACGTGGCCCGCCTTGACCACGTTGTCGTAGAAGCCCTGCACCTCGCCGAGCAGGCCCACCACCTTGTCCACGTCCACGTCGTTCCTGTCCGCCAGCAGCTTGATGAGCCTGTCCCGATACCTGCCCAGCGGGCAGCCACCATGCACGCGTTCACCTTGGGGTCGTGCAGCCGCCGTTTGCGGGGAGGCTGCCACTTGGGTTGGACCATCCATCCTGAACTCTGGTTCGCCGCCCCGACCTCGGCGCCGACGCCTCGCCCTGCCGCGCAGAAACCACCGATCGCACAGGTCCTCCTCGATGGCCTTCATCGCCACGTCCCACGCGTACTCGAGGCTCTTGGCGTCGCCGATGCGGATGACCACCTGCCGCGCCTCCTCCCACATTTTGACCCTAGGAAAGGGAGCCGCCCCTATAGGTGGGAGGGCCCGAAGCCGCGCGGCCCCACCCCTACCCCGACGCGGTCGACGCGATCCACCTTGGCCAGGTCCACGTGCACAAGGTAGCGCGGGTACAACGCCACCTCGGTCGCGACGCGTGCCCCACTCAGCTTCGTGTCCAGGTTGGGCGCCGCAATGACATAGTCCAGACACGAGCCATCCTCCGCTTGCCAGCATGTCGGCCCAGGAGGCACGATGGGAATGCCTCGCACCTCCTCCAGCCAAGGCCCATGCGGCTCGTCAACCTCCAGGTTCCAGTCCCCCCATGGCGACCCAATCCAGCTTGCGTGCGTTGAGCACGCGCAGGTAGGTCCGCAACTCGTGGACCGTGTCAGAGCTGTCGTCGTCCATGCCCACCGTGCGCCGCAGGTGCACCACCACGACGATGATGCCACCCTTCGCTCCCCAGTGAACATGTCCTGCCAGTAACCTCGCCTCCTCCAGGATGGGAGCAGGCACGAATGGCGGCGCTGTCACCGGGACCACCGTCTTCGTCAGAAGCGCCACGCCCCCCGATACGTCCAGGGGCCCGTCGCCTGTGGACTGCCCTGGCGCCCACAGCCCGTGGTAGCCGAGGTCCTTCACCTGGTTCTGCAGCGAGCTCAGCCTGTCCCCCTTCGCTCTGTGCTCCTGCACGGCGAACGCGTCCCCCACGGGCTTGTCCGCCACGTACCCTGTCAGACCACGGCCGCATGACGCATTCACCGTGGTCAGCACCCCTTCGGCAGTGCCCAAACTGCCACACGTCTCTTCACTCTTGGAAGTCTCCATCATGATGCCTGCAATCGCCAGTGCCATCATCAGCTCCCATACATCAGTAAGCCCTGTAGGCCCACTTGGACGCCGCCGACGCCATCTTCTGCTCCATCGCACGGAGTTCTCCCTCCTCGCTGGGGACGTCCAGTCCTGCTGCCTCGAAGCTGGTCCTGAGCTGGTCGATCGGCACGCTGTCCGCCTCAACCATGATCCGCTTGGGGTCAGGCCCGCTGCTGCCGCTCGCACTGCCAGGAACCCCTTCACGAGCAGTGCGCACCACACCAGCACGCTTGAACACCTTCTCTTCCAGCTTCGGGTGTTGCAGCAGCCGCTCCGACACGCCCCCAGAGGCCCCCAGCTCCTGCAGCAGCGCGCCCAAACCCTCCAGGTTGAGCTTCGGCCATTCAGCCACAGGGGTGTCCTTCTCGTCGGGCGGCATGGGCATATGCGCCGTGAGCTCGCACAACTTCTGCTCCAGCTCGACGGACTCCACGCGCAGCGCCTTCGCCTTGGCCTTCTCCTTCTCGAGGACCAGCTTTGCTGCCTCGATCGCCTCCTCGGCCTTGGCGACCACCCCGTCCTGCTTCTCGATGGCCTCCTGCTTCGCCTTGTGCTTTCGCTGCAGGCCGAGCAGTTGGGTGAACAGAGGCTTCTTGGCACGCAGCTCCTCCAGTTTCGCTTGCTTTTGTGCCTCCAGCCTCTCGATGGTGTCCAGCACGTCTTGCACTGGCGACTCGAACGCCCGCATCGCACGCAGCTGGACGTCCAGGTTCTCCAGCTCCTTCCGATGCTTCTCATCTTCCTCTTCATCACCTCCTTCACCAGTAGGCTTCGCCCCTTCAGCAGGGCGTCCCACCTTTGCCGCAACACGTAGACTCTTGAGCTCCACTCGCAAGCGAGCCACCTCCTTCTGCATCGCCGTCGAGTTCCCGCCTCCTGCACCGTTCCCGCCAGCAGCCGCTGGGCTGCTCTGCTGACGGTGCCGCGCCAGTCCCTCCTCCCCACGGACATGGCCGAGGAACACCTTGCTCTTCTCCCCGCCGAGGAAGAAGCAGCTGCGCTTACTCCCGAACGTGATGCACGGCATGCCCACTCTCGCCCCCCTCTCGTACTTGCAGCACTTGCAGTACTAGTCGGGCGTGAACGCGCCGCCCCCGCTGCCACCCCTACGGCCTCCAGGCGCCATGGTCCCCCGCCTACCCACAAGGGCAGCGAGGCCAGCCACAAAGCGAAGAGGGCCGCGCGGGCACAAACCCTGGACCAGGGCGGACTGGTCGGGTCAAGAAACAGCTGGGGTCTAGCCGCGGACTAGCGGTATCCACGTGTTCCCCTGTGGAACAAAGCATCTTGAGCCAAAATGGCTACGGAAGAGGAGGAGGAGGAGGAGGAGGAGGAGGAGGAGGAGGAGGAGGAGGAGGAGGAGGAGGGGGAGGGGGAGGAGGAAGCTGCCCGCCGGCCCTCGGGCCCGCTGGCCTGCTTGCCCTCTGGCGGAGCGCGGCCTCGGGACCGCCGGCCCCCGGGCCCGCTTGCCCTAGTCCAGGCGGACCTCACCAGGACCCCAACAGGACCCATCAGAGCCCAAGCAGGGCCCTGCCCTGTGCCCTGCCCGAAGTCTGCCGAGGGCCAGCGAGGACTTGAGCACGGCGCCCCCTGGCGGAGCGCGGACTCTTGTGCCTCTCTGCAGCAGGTGGAACCCGCTGGCCCTCGTCCAGCATTGCAAGAAGGCGGGGGGGGCCCTCGGGAAGAACCAAAACACCGCAGACATCCTGTGCGCGACTGGCACTGGTCTGGTCTGGTGGCCCAGCACTGCGCTTGACAAAAATGCTGATCTCCGAGAAGGACCTCTCGAAAAGGCGACGCGCTTCTGCCATCATATCAAGCCCTCCTCGTGCTCTCGCCAGGCCACCCCCCTGCCCCTCCTGAGCGCACCAAACGAAAAAGGTTGTCCTTGGCTTCCGGCCTCTCAGGAGGGTCCATGAAGAGCTCATGCCCTCCTCCTCCTCCTCCTCCTCCTCCTCCTCCTCCTCCTCCTCCTCCTCCTCCCCCTCATCCTGCTCCTCCTTCTCCTCCTCTTCCTCCTTCTCCCAACCCTCCCACTTCGACACTCAACGCTGCTAAATTCGACCACGACCAATCATAGCAAATGAGAAAACCCCCAGCGTCGTGTTGCAGGCAGTCGACGTGTTTCACCTCCTTCCCCCAGTCCGACTTCCGCCCTCCCGCCTCTAAACCCCCCCCCTTCCTACTCGCCCTCACCCTCCTCGCCCCGTTCCCGCCCCACCTCCCACTCGCGGCCTCCCCTCCTCAGATTTCCATCGGTCCAGTGGCGGCGGGCTGGGCCTCCGCGGTGGCGGCGCAGCCTGCGGGGTCGAGGCCCAAGGCGCCCAGGTCCTGGCCGACGTCCAAAAGGGGAGGTCGTTGCCGTCGACGCCGCCGTCGTCGTCGATGCCGATTTCGTCGTCGACGTCGACGTCGACACTGTCGTCGATGGCGCACCAAACGGGCCCACCAGATCGCTGACAAAGTCCTTGCTGACGAGGAGAGGCACCTGAAGCCGAGAGGAGCCCCCGCCAGGAGGGGCCCCAAGGACCTCGCCACCCGGACAAGCAGCGTGTGAAGGCTAGTCGGGGGGGGGGGCCCAAGATGTGACTGCCTCAAGATCGCGCGTGCGCAAACATGGATTAGCGATCCATGGATTTGGCGCGCGGATCGGGGGTGCCCTCCCCAAAATGCGGCCGGTGCCGCCTCGCTCGGCGGCGGAAATCTGCGATTTCCCCTGGAAACGGGACCCGTCGCTAATCCACGCCCCCTTGATCCATGTTTGCGATCGCCCGATAAGTGGCGTCCGCCAAGGCTCCTGAGCGATACGCTCTGCTACGCTTTTCACTCCGACCAAGCTGGCGCAGCGCCATGCCATGCCCGTCCGCTGGGCACCTGCCAGCCGAGCCTGCTGCGTGCCCCCTCGGCGGGCTCGTCCGTCCAGCGAGTCTCCACCTAGAGATCTCGATGTGCGATGGCCAGCTTGTCCGACTCCAGCTTCCACCGCCGATCTGTCTGCGACCGCAGCGCGTGGCCGGACAGCATTGAAGTACGCATTGCCCCAGTTGATGGGCAACTTCCGACTCTGCAGCCCCGAGGTTACAATCTCGAAGCTCTGTACGGTGTTCTCCAGCATCGTCCTGGGGCCACCGATCGTGTGCGTGGCCAGGTCGTCCACCACATTCAGCGCCCGACACGGTGGAGTCTCTGACGCAGTCCGCTTCAAGGGTCAACGCCCCAAATTTCGCGACTCCTGTAGACGCACTACATCCTTCCACGATTGTGTCGCTCAGGTAACACAGGCGACTCGTTGTTCCTGTCCATCTTGCCCCCCTCGGCGCCTGGTACAAACAGCAGAGTGCTCTCTGGAGCGCGCCGGCGAACAAGAAATGATATGCAGATGGGCCTGGTACCTCCATCTAGCTTCGGGAGAAGCACATTGATCATCACCAACATGCTCTCACAGGTTGGGTTCCGCTCCCATGGGGAACTAGTATGAGCCAAACGTGAAACAAACCGACCTTCCAATCATCTCACCAGCCTCGTGCGAACGTTGCCCCAGCCAAGCCCAGTACCTGAAGCAAAGCTCTTGCACACCTCCACTATCTTAATGTCTGAGATCTCTTGCAACTTCCAATCGTACTGCCAATCGTAAGGATGGATCTCCCCAATTCTCACTCTCTCACCCTCTCTCTCTCTCTGAAGATCAACAACAACCCGTCACAATATTCAAATACTGCATTGATCGCCGCTGTACCAACTAATACGTGTTCTGAACCTTTAGCTCTGGCCGAAGCTTCCTCGAGCCTTTGGGGTCTGATGGCGTGTGCCGATTTGCCTGACCCCTGGACCGCCGGCTCGCCAAGCTCCTTCCGTGCCCAGCGCCGCTCACTGGCATCGTGCCGCCTGCGAGCTTCTACTTCATCAGCGAGTGTCGTCCTGGACCACGTAGCGCGGTCCCTGCCACGTAACGCCAAGGCCGAGAGAAGAGGGAGGGAGGAGTAGGGGGAAGGAGGAAAAGGAGGACGGAGGTACGAGGAGATAGGAGGATGTAGCAGGAATCTGGTACAATGAAAATGAGGGGTGAGGCAAGAAGGGAGGAGGGCGAACAAAAACGAAGGAAAGATGAAGAGATGGGCTACGACGAGCAGGTAGAAGGTTGGAGGAAGGAGGTTAAACAACAGGAAAAGTAAAAGGACATTGGTTACCCGCCAGTCGGAAGAAGTAGGTGGAAACGTGAAGTAGGAAGGCGGAAAAGTAGATTGGGTTCGGGCCGACCCGAAGGATTACCCAGAAACGTCGAACAAACACAGATCGATCACTGAAATGGGAAAGCGCTAGAAGTAGATTGGGATCTGGAAATCCAGAAAGACCTACTTTCCAAGACGAGCTTGTATGCGAGGACGAGAGAGTAGAAGAAGATAACACAGACGGAGACCGAGGTATAACGCAGGCACATAGCCGGAGGAGGTGGAAACCGGACGCGTGAGGAACTTCGAAGAGGAAGAGGAAGAGGACGAGGAAGAGGACAAGGAGGGGGAGCGTCGTAGATCGGCTACACATGCTACCATGAACGGGAACGGGTCCCGAGGGAAACAGGCCTAGGATCGAGAAGGACTCTTTTAGCCCCGTGGACGAGCGGAGGCCCCTTTAGTTTTCCCCCGCAAATTCTTCTCCGCGTGGCCTGACCTGACGAGACAAGAGATCGAGTCGGGGCACGCTCTCGATTGCGCACGCTCTGGGGCGTCGCACTGGCGCTCTCTGGCGCGACGATCCTAACTGCGCCTTTGCTGTCGCGCAGAACATGAGCCGACTCCCTCCTCCGACGCCCTCTGCGCTCTCCGGGCCAGCCCGGGCCCCCGCCAGCGCGCTGGGGGCAGCAGCGGCGCCCTGGGCAAGCGCGGCGCCGCCAGCCACTCCTGCGAGCCCGCCAGGAGCCGTTGCGACGCAAGCGTCGCCCGCGCGAAGGGGGTGGTAAGTGGTGGGCTTGCTTTCCACCGCCACAAGCAGGAGGGGGAGGGGTCCTCCCCCTCCTCCTCCTCCTCCTCTTCCTCCTCAACTTCCTCCACCTCCTTCCCCCTTCAACTTATGGTGGTGGTGGTGGTGGTGGTGGACAACAGGCCCATCAGGAAGAGCCCCCTTCGACTCCAGGAGCGCGCTGGGCGGCAGGGCCGAGTCCGCCCGAGCGCGGCAGCTCTGGGACCCGCGGCGGCGCGGCACAGACTAGGCCGCCGGCAGGGAGGCGAGGCGGCGGATGAGGAGGAGAAAGAAGAGGAGGGGAGGGGAGGAGGAAAAAGAGGCAGAGAAAGAAGACGAGGAGAAAGAAGAGGAGAGAGAGAGAGTGGAGAGAGGAGGATGAGCAGGAGTAGAAAGAGGAGTAGAAAGAGGAAGAGGAGGAGGAGGGTCGAAAATTATCTACGACTGGCAGGGGCCGTGGACGACGCTGGGGCGTTGGGGTGGGATGGGCATCTCGAAGCCAAGAGGAGCATGCATGCACATATCTGCTGCGCGCTCCGCTGCCACCGAGGCTCGAACTTGCGATTCTCTCAGCACGCCCTGCAACCTGGCGTGAAAAATTGCGCAAACACAACTTCACACCACTCAGGCTGTCATGGAAGAAACGGGTCGGTCCTGATGGAAACGGGTCCTGGACCCTGGGGCCTTCGCCCAGGCCCTGCTATTTCGAGATGGGTAGCTTCTTGACAGTCCCTGGGACCCACGGAGGGCCCCGTGAGCCCGAGAACGGCGACGGCGATCCCTCGAGACCCGCTCCAAGTTGGCCCCTGGACCCCTCCCAGGGTTCGTCTCGGCCGGTTTTTTTAGCTGCGTCCGCTCGTGGCGACGAGAGACGCACAGGTCCGAAATGGCTCGAACCTCGATCCTCGATCCTTCATATGGCCGTTACGCCGACGAGGACGACGGACGACGACGATGACGATGAGCTCGTCATGGTCCCCCTCCTCCTCATCCCCCTTCCCCCCGCACCCTTCCCCATCCCCGTCCCTACCCATACCTCTACCCCTCTCCGCTCCTCCACTGCCTCCTCCTCCATGTCCTCCTCCTCCTCATCCTCCTCCTCGTCTTCACCATTATCGCCGTCATCATGATCATCAGCATCATCATCATCATCATCATCATCATCATCATCATCATCATCATCATCATCATCATCATCATCATCATCCTCACCACCACCACCACCACCACCACCACCATCACCATCACCATCACCATCACCATCACCATCACCATCACCACCATCATCACAATCACCATTATCACCACCACCACCACTGCCATCACCACCACCATCATCACCATCATCACAACCATCATCACAACCACCACTACCATCATCATCACCACCACCATCATCATCGCCATCAGCATCATCATCATCATCATCATCATCATCATCAGCAGCAGCAGCGGCATCATCATCATCAGCATAATCGTCGGCATCATCATCAGCGTCAGTACCACCACCATCATGATCATCATCAGCATCATCACCACCACCACCATCATCATCAGTCCCATCATCATCATCATCATCATCATCATCATCAGCATCATCATCATCATCATCATCATCATCATCATCATCATCATAAGCATCATCATCATCATCATCATCACCATCAGCATCATCATCATCATCATCATCATCATCATCATCATCATCATCATCATCATCATCATCATTAGCAGCATCATCATCATCATCATCATCATCATCATCATCGTCGTCGTCGTCGTCGTCGTCGTCGTCGTCGTCATCACCATCGCCATCGTCTTCGCCGTCGCCATCACCATCATCGTCATCATCTGCAACAGTATCATCAGCAGCAAAATCATACTCGTCATCGTCAGCACCATCATCACTATCATCAACGCCATCCCCATAATCATCGTCACCATCATCAGCACACCATCACCACCATCATCATCAGCATCATCATCACCATCATGATAATAATAATAATAATAATCATCATCAGCATCATCATCATCATCATCATCCTCATCATCATCATCATAATCGTCATCATCATCATCGTCAGCATCATCATCATCATCATCACCATCATCATCACCATCCTCATTATCATCGGCAGCAGCATCAGCCTCAGCCTCAGCCGCAGCATCAGCATCAGCTTCAGCATCATCATCATCACCACCAACAGCAGCATCATCACCACCACCACCATCATCAGCATCACCACCATCATCATCGACATCAGCACCAGCAGCACCACCATCATCAGTATCACCAGCATCATCATCATCATCATCATCATCATCATCATCATCATCATCATCATCATCATCATCATCATCATCATCATCATAATCATCGTCATCGTCATCGTCGTCATCATCATCATCGTCGTTGTCGTTGACACTATCATCATGCGCATCCGCACCCGCATCCTCGTCATCATCGCCAACATCATCAGCATCATCACAACAAACACCACCACCACCACCACCATCATCATCATCATCATCATCACAAGCATCATCATCATCATCACTACCACCACCATCACCACCACCGACATCATCATCATCATCATCATCATCATCATCATCATCATCATCATCATCATCAGCATCGTCATCATCATGGTTATCGTCGTCGTCGTCAGTATCATCAGCATCATCATCAGCAGCAGCATCAGCAGCAGCATACCACCCGACCATCTCAACAACAACGACGGCCTGGGCCACGGCCACGACGACGGTGACGACGACGACGACAACCATCACCACCACCACTACATAGGCATCATCGACGTCGACGACGACGACGACGACGACGACGGTGGCGGCGACGACGGCGACGGCGGCGGCGGCGGCAGCGACGGCGACGGCGACGCGGCATCGACGTCGACGTCGACAGCGAGACCGAGGCCGTCCTGCTCCAGGGCGTCCAGGTCGTCGAAGTCCTCCCCGTCGTCCGCTGCCATTTCCGCCCGCCCCAGGCGCGCCCCGCGCGCGCCGAGGCGCGCGGGCCGCCGCGGCTTGGAGCAGTGCGTCCGCGCGCGGCGACCGCCTCGTCCCGATCCGTTTCCGGCCGCTCCGTCTCTCGGAGGGGCGTAGCAAAGGTGGGATAGAGGCATAGGCATAGGTGGGGTCAGGGAACAATCGCTCTAAACGGCCGCTGAAGAAGGAAGTGAGAGCATCGAGCTGCGCTCGTTCCCGAACCCACCTTGGGACAAACCCCCCTCTCCGAACACCCGAGTCTCATGCTCCAGCTCCGCAGCATACTAGCCCGATGCAGGACACGGCGCTGCCGGGCTGCGCCCAGCGCTCGAGAAGAATCCTAACTGTTAAGAGGGGCCGATCAGCGCGGGGCTCAGAAAGGGGGGGCTGAAACTTTTTACCAGCGGGCACCGCAGGCGGCCACAGCGAGCCAGTGGAGCACGACGCGAGGCGCGGGGCGCATGACGTGTGCCCGCCCTGAGATCCGACGTCGCGGAAAACTTGTTACGTCGGCGGCTAGACAGAGGGTGACTGCGCTGGCGATGAATGGCATGAACGGGGGTACCGTTGGGCCGAATTGTGCCACCATGCAGGAGGGAGGAGAGACGCGGCCGAAACAACGTCACGGAAAACACACAACCTCGAGAAAAATCACAACTGGAGCCCCAGGCCCCCAAATTTCCGCGGCGCCTGGACCCCCCCGGCAATGCGGAAGAGGGGCCTGCCGCCGAGGCGGGGAGGGAGAACCTGGCGCCCGGCGCATGGGGAGGTGGTCGGCGGAGCCTGTCTGCACTTCCTCGGCCAGCCTCTTCGCAGCCACAGCGCGCGCCGACACGACGGCCCGTGACCCAAACACGCATTGTGAAGTGGCTGGTGGACCTACTTGCGAGCATGTCCGTCATTGCCTCCTCCTCCTCCTCCTCCTCCTCCTCCTCCACCTCCTCCTCCTACTCCTGTCTCCTTCCTTCCTCCTCCTCCTCCTCCTCCTGTCTCCTTCCTTCCTCCTTCATGTTCCTCCTCCTCCTCCTCCTCCTCCTCCTCCATCTCCATCTCCATCTCCATCTCCTCCTCCTCCTCCACCTCCTCCTCCTCCTCCTCCTCCATTCCTTCTCCTTATAATTTCGCCGGCCCAACGGGCCAGAGGCGTGCTATGATCTCCGGTAACTGCTTTACAATATTTCTACTTCGCGCGCGGGGGGCGGCCCCTGGGGGTCCCCAGAGGAAAAGTACCCCGGCAGGGTCGAGTCAGAGATGGTTTTCCGTCTGGACGCCGCCCTCGAGACCCTCCAGAGAGCCCCAAGAAGGGTCAAGAGGCCTCCAAGAGGCCCCAAGATGATACAACAGGGCTCGAAGATGCCACAAGATCGCTCCAAGATGCCCAAGATGGCCCCCAGACGCCCCAAGAGGCCTCCAAGAGCACTCTGAAGAGGGCCCCAAGATGCAAAAGTCATTGCTTTTCCTTAGGTTTTGGACAGATTTTGGTGTTTCCACCTTTTCGGCTTCCCGACGCCCCAAGACGACCCAAGAGGACCCCAAGATCGCCCCAAGAGGGCCCACGAGGGCCCCAAGACGGCCCAAGATGGCCCCAAGACGGCACAAGAGGCCTCCAAGACGGCCCAAGAGGGCCCCTAGAGCGCCCCAAGAGCGGCCCCAGAGGGGGAGCACGAAACAACATTTCGAGCCCTCGGTCCTGAGAGGCCCCCAGGAAGCCCCAAGAGGCTCCCAAGAGCCCTCAGGAGGCCCCCAAGACGCCCCCAAGAGGCTCTAAGAGGCCCCCAAGGGGCATCTTGGAGGCCCTAAGAGGCCCCCAAGAGGCCCCCACGGGCCGGCGGAATGAGCGAAGCGGTTCAATAACTTCTCCCTGTCGCACCCCGAGGCCTGTTTTTAGGGCGGGACGGGCGTTTCGCCTGAGAAATCCTCACCACTGATGACTCTGAAGCTGAAAAATTGGCAACAGCTTCACAGATGGAGGGCGGGCGGTTTTCAAAATGTGGCTCTCGCCTTAGCGCCGTGAACATTCGTTTGGAAAATGTGCAAGAGCTTCACAAATTGCGGGCGGGTCGCTTTCAAAATGTGGCTCTCGCCTTAGCGCCGAGCACATTCATTCTAAAAATTGCAAGAGCTTCACGGATTGAGGGCGGGTGGTTTTCAAACTGTGGCTCTCGCCTTAGCGCCGAGCACATTCATTCTAAAAATTGCAAGAGCTTCACGGATTGAAGGCGGGTCCTTTTCAAAATGTGGCTCTCGCCTTAGCGCCGCGCACATTCAGTCTAAAAATTGCAAGAGCTTCACTGATTCAGGGCGGGTCCTTTTTAAAATGTGGCTCTCGCCTTAGCGCCGCGCACCTTCGTTTTAAACAGTTGCAAGAGTTTCAGGGATTCCCATGATCAGCTTACAGAAGGTGTGTTTTCGAAGGATTCAAGATTATGCGGGTGCAACAGTTATACTGATTCGCTGTGTTGGAGTCCCAAAGGTCGCGCTGGCACAATTACAGATCGTCAAAACGCAGCAGTCAGGCTAATCAGTGGCGTGGAATCCCGAGAACAGTGTTCTGGCATGCTTCAAGGTCTTCAAACGGTTGTCTTCCAACGAGGCAGTTCCCTCAATGAAAAGGAACCGTTGTAGGGGCCTATGAGGGAGCTTGGAGGGAGAGCTAATTCCAACATCGTTGATGACTCTTGGGTTTACACCGGTCCTCCTCCTCCTCCTGGTCTCCTGATTTCCTGATGACAGTTGTGTTTTCCGAACGCTGTCGCTCTCTCCCCCTCCTCCTCCTCGTCCTCCTCCTCCTCCTCCTCCTGCTCCTCCTCCTGCTCCTCCTCCTCATCCTCCTTCTTGGTTCCCTCATCCATGTTCCCCATCCCGTACCCCAACCCACTCTGTCTTCATCCACATCGTCAACCCTGCTCCTCTTTGGAGTCCCGAAACGGTGCGGTGACAGACCGTGCGGTGACCTCGAATCCCCCAAGATCTCGCCGCACGGTCCGTCACCGCACGGTTTTAAAACCCTAGAGGCCCCTATCACCCGAGACATCCTCGGAGAGGGACTCCAGTCCCAAAACCGTGCGGTGACCCCGAATCCCCACCGACTCACCGCACGGTGTGGTCACCACCCCGTTTGGGAGCCCCCGATGCTCTTCCTCCTCATCCTGCTCCTCTCGTCCCGGGGTCGCCGTCCAGTGAAAGGTACGACACACGCGCGCTGCGGGGAGCATTACCCCTTACAAATTACTACGGGTGCGCGCTCCTGGGGTCATAATCCGATGCATCGTACAGCATATGGGCGCTGACCGAGCCGCAGCCCCTTTGAGACTATAGCAGGTGCGCACTTGCGAGGCAGCACCCTTGTAAATCCTAAATAAGCGCGCCCCCGAGGTCGCTACCCCTCAAAAGTTACGACGCGCGCGCGGGCGCGCCCCCAAGGCCGCTCCCCAGCGTAAATTCCGACACGCGCGCTCCCCCGCGTAGATTCCCCACGCGCGCCTCGCAAATTACAGCAATGTGCGCTCCCGCGGCCACCGCCCACTCATCAAGAACTGCATACGCGCGTGACCAGCGAGCCCGCAAACAGCCCAGACCAGCCGTCAAGACGCGCGCAACCAGCCAGCCAGCGAACAGCCCAGACTCCGAGGCGGGAATTTCTACATGACCACCGCCCGAAGGATCAACTTTCTGGGACCTCGGCAGGCGGTGGACATGGATATATTCGAGCCCCCGGGGGCCAAAACATATCCACATCCGCCGCCCGCTGGGGCACCAGGACGACGGTTCCCAGGCGATGGATATGGATAAATCCCCGCCTCGCACAGACCAACTGCCAGCTGCCCATGTAGGCAGCAAGCCAACCAGCCGAGCTGCCAGTCAGCCATCCGACACGAGAACGAGCCAAATAGCCGATCAAGCGTGGCCACGCAAGCAATCTGGGGCAGAGGGGGCGAAGCGAAGCCCCTCAGACATGTGTGACGAGATGTAACATGATACGCGCACCTGAACAAACATGCACATGCACGTCTCTGTATAGATCCTCCCGCGCACTCCCTCCGCCCTTCCATCCCTCCTCCGCCTCCTCCCCGTCTCTCCAGCGGACGCTGCAGACCGCTCGTGCACGCCCCACGCGGCCTCCACCAGCGGAACAGCGATGGGAGCGGGCGGGCGGCTTCCCCCCTCTGCTCCCCCTACACCCCCCTCTTGGGCACCTCCGACCAGCGCGAGTCCGTCCTGATCTGGGGGGCAATGATTGGGGGGGGAACTGGCATGGGGGGGGGGATGCATCGACCTGGAATCGGCGATACGTCGCCGATAGATCGGCGACAGGCCCCCGATGGTGAGTCCGCACCTTCCTGGACAGGCTGGGGCTGTCGGGCCCCTATCGGCGATCAGTGGGCGAGTGCGGGTTCGATGCATCCCCCCCCCCCCCATGCCAGAGTCCCCCCCCAATCGCTGCCCCTGATGCTCACCTCGTGGACCGCCCCGTGGGCGGCCGCGGGCGGTCATCCGCCCCACGTCCGTCGGGCGGGGGGCGTGGACGCTGGACCTTCCCGGCCGCCCTCTGCGGCGCACGGCCCCCCGCGAACCCCGAGGAGGGCATCCCGGGCCGCGCCTCGCGCGAGGGAACAAGAGAAGCGAGAGGGAGGGAGGGAGGGAAGGGAGGGAAGGGAGGGAGAAGCGAGAGAGAGATGGAGGGAGGGAAGGGAGAAGGGAGGAGGGAGGGAAGGGAAGGGAGAAGCGAGAGGGAGGGAGGGAGGGAGGGAGGGCGGGAGGAGGGAACCCACAAAGGACGCACGCGCCCAACCACGCTCATGAACACGGCCCCGCGGTCCGCGAGACCAGCCGCGAGATACGAATGGTCGCTCATTGTGCGCACTCTCGAGACCGACGTGGACTCCTGTGCGTGCACGTGCTTCTTTCGCTCCCGAGGGAGGGCGGGAGGGGCTCGTCCTCGCGCGCCTGGCCGCAGCGGCCGCCTGCCCTGAAGTCGCGGGGCGGCTGGCGAGGCCGCGGATCGGCTGGGGAGGCGGGGAGGAAGCGGGAGCAGGGTAGGG